GTCCTTTTCCTCGATTTATGAAATCCGCCTCTTTGCAGGCTTAGAGAGTGTCCTTAACTCAATTTTCAAGGAAATTCATTAGAGGCAAGCTTTGGAGACTTTCAAGGAAAATTTCGAGAGTGACTTTAGATGTAAATTTGCGGGAAAGTTAAGTCAGAATCTTCTCCAAAGATTCTCTTCCATGGTCTTCCATTTTAAAAAGATTTGTGCCAATATTAATGAGCAATTGAAATTGACGAAACGTCCAGACCTCATCCTAATACATTCGACGGGCGAAGTTTTGATTATCAAGGAAAAGGACAACGTTGCTTGAAATTTCCCTCCTGGATTTTCACCAAATTTTTTCAAGAAAAATCATCTCTTGAAAATTAGTTTCAATAGGGATGAACAAATGAAATTGACAAAATGTCTAGGTTTGAATCTTTTTCACGCGACGGGCGAATTTTCAAACATCGAGAAAACCGGTGACGTTGCTCGAAGTTGCCGCCTTGCATTTTCACTGAATTTTGTAAGGAAGGTCTTCAGAGCCGAATACTATTAGAATTAGGGTCAAAAGGGATGAGAAAATAAAATTGACGAAACGTCGGAACCTAATTCTAATTTGAGCTAGGAGCGAATTTTAGATTACCAACCTAAACGGCAACATTGCTCAAATTTTTCCTCTTGGATGTCCACTGAAATTAGAACGGAAGGTCTGTAGCCTCCTAACCCAAGAAAATCGTTAAAAGGATGAACAAATGATTTTCGAAACGCCGTGGCTTGATTCTAATTTAAGTGGCTGGCGAATTTTCAATTAATGACCAAAACGGCAATGTTTCACAAATTTTCCTCCTTGAACTTCCTCCACGATTTGCGGGAAAGGTCCTTAGGACTCCCTACGCATGAAAATTGGTGTCACAAGGGATGAGCAAATGAAATTGATGAAACGTCTTGGCCTCATTCTAATTTGCATTGCCCCTGTTAAACTGGACTAAACCATTTCCAATTATTATGTCTTAGATGGAGGTAAGCTGCAGCCATTTACTATTTACTTAGTAGGTAAGCTTAGCTAATAGTTTTCAAAGCTTAAACTTTGTAGGTAGGGGTGAGAGCAGCATAGAGGTCAATAATAATAGGAATTTTAATAATAGACTAGCAACGATTTTCCCATGGAAAAATCATTAAGTAATCATTAATCTTGGAAAATTCATCAAAATCATCATGAGGTGTAATAAAACAGGTTTCCAAAAACAAAAAAATCGGAACACAGCAGGCTTTATTTGTAACGCTGAGTTCAAAAATGACTTAAGTTTTTTGCGTTGACCCACTATCTTCCCATAAAATTGGGATTTTTTTAAAAAATCGACAATGAACTGACAGTTTTCCTTGGAATGTTCCTTAAATATCCTTTATGGGTTCAATAATTCTCACAGAAAATTTCATGGAGATCTGTCGATAAGAGTTACTTTAGACGAGAATGACACTAAATGGGCGATTAGTAACCATTTAAGTGGAGATACCCATTTTCCAACTTCAGCCATCGACATACTAAGCTCAGGTGTTAGAAAGTTGTGAAGGAACTCACCATGACCAGGTACACAAAATGAATAAAATTATGCCATCTGGATGAAGAACTTACCTGAAACAAACAAGCAGAACAAAACCTTCAGTCAGAGAACACCGAATAGGTAAAACAATGGGTCAGTTGCACAAAATCGTGTTTTGACAGTTCTTGCTTATAGATTAGTAAAAAGTATTGTGATCTATGCAAAACACGGAGTGCCTGCGTTCAATATTTACAGAAATATTCGAGAGATACTACGATTTACATCATCCATTGAATGTCAAATCCTTTTAAAAATGCAATTTTTCCAGGCAAGACTCTGTCATTCTTTTGGGTTTTCATAATATAAGAAAAATGAAAATCTGAAAACTGATCTTCGAGTCCTTTGTGTTCATACACTAGGTGAATTCCTTGCTTTATCAGGGTCATATTTTCTACACTGCCTCAGTCAAAAGGTTCTTAGTTTTCGTTGATCCACTGTAGTTAGTTGGCAATCAGCCAGCCAACGGTTGTACTTTGATACATGGCTGGAATATATCCACATACGCAAACTTAGCTGCTTGTAGCAACCTTGAAGCAAAACAGACTGGTCACATTATCATGTGGGAAAGCTAGTGGCTCCTCTATGTCAAAAAGCTTGACATTGGCCAGTTTTTCCCTATTTCATCCCATGTTTTCATTTCCCCCCTGATTTCCCCAGGGCGAGGGGGGAACAAAGAGGCAACCGACAAGCCTAAAATACCAGATGACCAACCAGAATTGTTTGCAGTGTTTCTCCTAGCCTACAATTATCGATAATTGAATGAGAAGTAAAGGGACAATAAAGGGATAAAGTACCGATTAAAGTGGATCAGCGAAAACTAAGAACCTTGTTCCTGAGGCAGGAAAAGAAATATGACCCTGAAAAAGCAAGGAATTCACCCAACATGTGAATACAAAGAGACAGGAAGATCATTTTTCAGATTTTCATTTTTTGTAATGTCATGAAAACTCAAAAGAATGACACAAGTTTTGCCTTAAAATACTGCATTCTTAAACATAACAAATAAAAGAAGTGAAGATATGCTGTGGGCAACTGAGATGGACTTTCGGCAGAGATCTGCTGGAATCTCGAGAAGGGAGCATGTCCGAAATGAAAAACTGCATGAGATAATGGGGGTGAAGAATGACATCGTGCACGATATCAGGCCCAAGCAGGTTTTCGGTTGGGTTCCTCCAGGGAGATGGCGTGGACGTCCTGTGACCGGTTAGCGACAATGGGTGGAGGAGGAGGAGATCAGGTGTCAGTTGCCTGCTCTGGGAGGATAGAGGGCAATGGCGATTGGGTGTCGCAGAGTGCGGCTGCGCTGTAAAGGCAGCTTTCATGTATGTATGTAAAGAGATAATTATCACCAATAGACTGATTTAGTGACGTCATTCGATACATCATCGAACTCGTGGTTCAAACCAAAACAAATGATATGACCTAGCAAAACCTCACGTACAAAGTCTTCTGGAGATGATTGTGTTTATTAATTAGGTACAGTTAAGTAATTGACAGGTCATAAGACAATTAAGGACTCATTAAACACCAGAAATTTCGATTGAAAGAAACACTTGGGCGGATTTTAACACCATGATGTGAACAGAGACAAGAGACCCTCCACTGGCCTCCTGGCGACAGGTGGAAGATTTTACTTTCGGGGATTCAAAAGTTCCTTATGGACAATTATTAGGGAGCAACAGTCATCACCTTAATTTCAGCTGTTGGCCTATCTACATGGTAGATGATGAGCTTCGGGTGACGTCATGAGCCAAACAAGTTTCACAAACTTCGGCCACTTTCGACTTGTTTGCAAAACGAAACAGCCAACACATTGTTAAACATCAACCATGTAGGTAAGTCAACAGCAGAATGCTGAAGGCCCGAAAGTAAAAGCTTCCACAATGGCCAAGATACTAGTGGAGGGTCTCTTGTCTCTGGATGTGAATCAAAGACAAGGTTGTGTGTTTGTTTACAATTGAACCATGACATAGCCACTAAATTAGTCTATTGATCAGGGACAAAAATAACAAGTACTGCTTATAAAGTGCAAATACGAAGTACTGCTCACGGGTAGTTTCATATTATGGAAGCCCTTAAAAAGTAAGGTGCTTTAAAAATTGCAGGCATGCAGGAAGAAATTGAAAAGTTCTTCGATGAGGGAGCCAGCTTTGCTTTCAAAACTGCCATTATTCAGTGAGAAGGAAAAAACATTTGTAGAAGTTTATCAAATGCAAGCAGTTACATGGAAGTAGGCAACATATTGGGCAGGCCTAAGGACATTATTCAGAGCAAACGGGGTGATTTGTTCAAAAATCTTACGGCTGTGAATGCATTGCACTTTGGGGCAACATCAGTCTGACAAAACAAAGCGCAGGTGTGTCTGTTTTCTGCATAGCCTGGACTCTGCACAGGGCGAGGGTTGAACTAAATGCAATACCTCTTAACTAAGTATCCTTTCGGGGTGATCAAAATAAGGAATGGATGAGGCTTTTTCCTTTTCAAACTTAGAAATCAGTGGAGACCGACCACATTGTTGCTCCTCTGAACTTAACATTGTCGGCCTCCTGTGGTGTAGTGCTGGCCCTATGACTAAGAGGTTCTGGGTTCGATTCCTGGCCAGCGGGCCGATTATTGAAATTTAAACCAGCCCGATAAGACATCGAATTGCGATATATTGCATGGTTAAGATAGGGCTATGTCTTGTCGTGTCGGGCTGACATAGTTTCAATAATCGGGCCGCAGGTGACCTAAGTTTGATGGTCTCAGACGATGGTCACCTGGGGCTGGGGTATAAAGCGTGGGATTAGCCGATAGGCTATTTGAAACTTGCAATAAAAAAACAAACAAACAAACACTACCTTACATGCAGCGACAGTTGAAGAACTGAAGAAGAGAAATTTCCATGAAGCTGAGACAGCGAAGCGAAAACGACCGACCGATGTGCCGACCATGTGCGAATCAGCCTATCAGGCGTGCGTGAGATGAAAACGAACCAAAACAAATCTGGTCCATAGAGAAAAAAAGTAGGTGTTTGCATTTCGGGCATCTTGGAATTTTTTTGATGACGTAGGTCGGTACAGCGACGTTTATCATCGATTTTCTTGGAAATGGTGTAATTAATGGAAAAAAGTCATCCTATAAAAAGTGTTTGAAATTATATCATGAGTTGATTTAAGCAAAAAAATGGGACATTATGGTCCGTTTTTCATAATTCGAATCCCGGATATCGCTGGCCACGTTGTACCGACCTACGTCATAGGGTAAACAAACCTCAAGATGCAAACACCTTTTTTATCTCTATGAATCTGGTCATGTGACCACTGTTCCCCCTGCCCCCTCCCCAAAGCGCAACAGGTTAGAAAAACTTCCGCGAAAAATGAAATAGGAACTAAACCTGAAGTGGAAAGTGAAATTCTCGTTAAGTTGATAAGCTGATCCTGATCCTTCCGAAGTTCCGAATGATGAAACACATAAGAACAACACGATTTTTGCCGACAATCTACGAAGTAAGTAAGATCTTCTTTTTCCATTTATTCATACGTGATTAAAAACTTGGACTGGAGAAAACCTTACATTACCATACCGTCACCTTCTGGGCAAAGGATCACAAGCATTTTATTTTTATTACGGAACGTCGCAGTGCTTGTGATACTTCGGCCGAAAGGTGACGAAATGCGATGCTCTCCCTTCCCCTGTAGGATTTCATGATACCTACCTCCCCCTTTAAAAAGGTACAAACAATACAAAAAATACAAGAGGGATTGTGAACCCTCCCTTCGGCCTTGTCTCCACGGGACGTTTCATGGGATTGTTCCGAAGTTCGAATTGCAGGAGTGAAACTTCTGGGCTTTTTCTCTGTGAAACAAATCAACTAAATGTTTTCTTCTTCTCTTCAAAATGCTCTTGGGACTTCTTAAGGACTCTTCAAGGTACTAAGATTAGTATTGACTGACTCGATATTATTCCCAACTTCGTAAGTGAGATTTTTCCCTGGGACAAATCCCATGAAACGTCTCGTGGAGACAAGGCCCTAGACAGTGCTGCCAGAATGTGTGCTTTCGGAACAAATGAGGGGCTTGAAGGATAAGGTGCAGTGCAGTTTTTGCTATTTCGAGAAACACATGTTTGAAGGTTCAAAATTACATGGAGCCTTAGAGCAGAAATAAAGTTCAAACTCACATTTTATGCTTGTAATTACATTATTTATAATAGTAATTCTTCCTTAATTCACTTAATACTTACATTAAGTTTTACGTGAATTTTTTACAGAATTTATTTCAAGACTAGTTTCAGTTACCAATATCTCTATTTTTCCAGAAACTGCTCTTGTGCACCTTGTCCTCCAAGCCACACAAATTGCTCTATCAGATTAATTTGCACTTTTCGAAAATACATTACATTGCTCTCCTAGGCCTTGTCTTTACTGAGCATTGTTCGCCCTATTAGTTGGTCCAACTAGTTTGGAGATACTCAAAACTAAAAGACAAATTGGAACTTATCGGACCAACAAATAAGGCAGGAGACAGTGGCAGGAGACTCCATGGAGACAGTGCCTCAGATGACCTGTGTAAAGTTTTTGCTCAATGAATAATGAAGTACATATCTTTGGTTGGTGGTACCTACTTGACTTTAAATATGAAATTGGCTCTGCAAAAATTTATTAGTCACGTAAAAAAATGTTTGCATTGCGCAATACAACACACTTGAATCAGTTGGACCAATTTCAACAGAAACGCACCAAGATGCATTATGGTTAAAAAAGAGTTTATGGTTCCTTGTCAAAAATTCATAGTAAAGAAAAATTATTATCAACGCAAAAACATTCTTTAAAATTTCACTTTAATATTGATTCTTGAGGACAAATAAAAATTCAAATCTCTTATTCTTGATTTGAACTTGATGCGACTTGGTGCGTTTTACTTAAACTCATTTCTGCTGTCAAGAACTGAGCCATCTCTTTCCCAATGCTGTCAAGATTAATTGATTCGCCTCCTGATCGCTCATGAGGAAAAGCAATATCCATTGAACTTTTTCATGGGAGAGTTACTCAATCTTAGCAGCATTGGTCAAAGCAGGAATTTATTTGATTCTAAAACAACTGATTTGCCAGTGCATTCTGTTGTGCTTCCAAGCCTTAATATATTATTGATCCTCAATATTAACCAAAAAGTAATAAAAAAGAAAGAATGATGCCATAAGAAAAATGCTGTTTATTAACATCTCTAGATTGTTTCTCCTGATTGGAAAAATCTATTTAATTCTCCTTGTTCTCATAACTTTGAATTATTCCCTTTTATTTTGATATTCTAGGAGCCGATAGAGCACAATTTTCTCCAAGATCCATTGCCGAAGCCACCAATGCTCCTCGCAATGCCCATAATTCCACCGCCTAAGGAATTCAAAGATATCACGGGAAAGGACATAAACGAAATTCAAAGGCAATTGGATGTGCTCTCAAGATTAGTCACAGAATTATACCTGAGCCTTAATGAATTGAAGGTAAGTCAATTAAAACAGCCCCACTATAAATAATAATAGTAATAATAATAATAA